AGCAGTAAAATAGATACCTGGGTGTTAGTCAGCTGTCACGGGCTGCTTCCTGGGGGTGGAGGCCTGGTCGAGGACCTGGCCGCGGGGACACTAAAAAGCCCCGAAATCATCTCAAGATAACCTCAGGATATAGGTCCTTTAGTAATATTACTGGCGTCTTGTGATTGTCATATGAGAGAGAGAGAGAGAGAGAGACAGAGAGAGAGAGAGAAAGATAGAGAGAGAGAGAGAGAGAGAGAGAGAGAGAGAGAGAGAGAGAGAGAGAGAGAGAGAGAGAGAGAGAGAGAGAGAGAGAGAGAGAGAGAGAATCAGAAGATAATTCGAGGAAAGACATTAAGAACTTAACCACATATGGAAATAAACTGACACAGTGAGAGATATGAACAAGGAAGAGAAGGTACAAGGTGAAAGAGATTAGAGTGGAAGCGGTTAAAGGAGGAGCTGGAGGAAGACAGACAAGAGGAGAAGCGAAAGCACAGAAGAAAATAATAGAAGATGAAAACATAATAATAAAAGTACAACGAAAGAGAAAGTAAAATAAAGAGGAACAGAACAAGAGAAAAAGAAATGATGGTGGCGGTGATGGTGATGGTGGTGATGGTGGTGGTGGAGGTGGTGGAGATAGTGATTGAGGAGTTAGTGGTGGTGATGGTGGTGGTGGAGGTGGTGGAGACAGTGATTGAGGAGATAGTGTTGGTGGTGGTGGTGGTGGTGATGGTGGAGATAGTGATTGAGGAGTTAGTGGTGGTGATGGTGGTGGTGGTGGAGATAGTAATGATAATGGTGGTGGTGGTGATGGTGGAGATAGTAATGATAATGGTGATGGTGATGATGGTGGAGATGATGGTGGAGGTGGTGGAGACAGTGGAGATAGTGGTGGTGGTGGTGGGTGGGGGTGTGGGGGCCCACAGTTGGGTGGCGTTCATTACCACTGAGAGTGTGACACCAGCGGGCCGGGTATTGTCGCCTCGGGGCGCCATTTTACTGACGCTCTGTTTATTGTGACACCCCCCCCCCCAGACCCTCCACACTACACTTGTGGGCTGCACTGCGGTCCTCTGAGGACCTGTGTGTGGGTGTGTGTGTGTGGGTGGGTGTGTGTGTGTGTGTGGGTGTGGGTGTGTGGGTGTGTGTGTGTGGGTGGGTGGGTGTGTGTGTGGGTGTGTGTGGGTGGGTGGGTGTGTGTGTGGGTGTGTGTGGGTGGGTGGGGTGTGTGTGTGTGTGTGTGTGTGTGTGTGTGTGTGTGTGTGTGTGTGTGTGTGTGTGTGTGTGTGTGTGTGTGTGTGTGTGTGTATGTGTGTGTGTACTCACCTATTTAGGTCTGCGGGATCGAGCATTGACTCTTGGATCCCGCCTTTCTAGCCATAGGTTGTTTACAGCAATGACTGCAGTTCTATTTCCCCAACATATCTACTTTTTAAATTATGAATACAGTTTGCTTCCACAAACCTGCTCCTTAAGTGCATTCCATTTTCCCACTACTCTCTCGCTAAAAGAAAACTTCCTAACATCTCTGTGACTCATCTGAGTTTCCAGCTTGTATGTGTACTCACCTAGTTGTGCTTGCGGGGGTTGAGCTCTGGCTCATTGGTCCCACCTCTCAACTGGTGTACAGATTCCTGAGCCTACTGGGCTCTATCATATCTACATTTGAAACTGTGTATGGAGTCAGCCTCCACCACATCACTGCCTAATGAATTCCATCTGTTAACTACGCTGACACTGAAAAAGTTCTTTCTAACGTCCCTGTGGCTCATTTGGGTACTCAGTCTCCACGTGTGTCCCCCTTGTTCGCGTATCACCCGTGTTAACCAGTTTTATCTTTATCTACCCTGTCAATTCCTCTGAGCATTTTGTAGGTAGTGATCATGTCTCCCCTTACTCTTCTGTCATACAGTGTCGTGAAGTGCATTTCACGCAGCCTTTCTTCGTAACTCATGCCTTTTAGTTCTGCGACTAGTCTAGTAGCATACCTCTGAACTTTTTCCAGCTTCGTCTTGTGCTTGACAAGGTACGGGCTCCATGCTGAGGCCGCATACTCCAGGATTAGTCTTACATATGTGGTGTACAAGATTCTGAATGATTCCTTACACAGGTTCCCTAAGGCAGTTCTGATGTTAGCCAACCTTGCATACGCCGCAGATGATATTCTTTTTATGTGGGCTTCCGGAGACAAGGTGTGTGTGTGTGTGTACTCGCGTAGTTGTGCTTGCGGGGGGTTGAGCTCTCGCTCTTTGGTCCCGCCTCTGAACTGTCAATCAACTGGTGTACAGATTCCTGAGCCTATTGGGCTCTATCATATCTACATTTGAAACTGTGTATGTCCCCTTGTTCTCGTACCACTCATGTTAAACAGTTTATCTTTATCTACCCTATCAATTCCTCTGAGAATTTTTTATGTAGTGATCATGTCTCCCCTTACTCTTCTGTCTTCCCGTGTCGTGAGGTTCACTTCCAGTAATATTTCCTCGTAGTTCATACCTCTCAGCCCGGGGACTAGCCTGGTGGCATGCCTCTGAACCTTTTCTAACTTCGTTTTGTGTTTGCCTAGATGTGGACTCCAGGCTGGAGCCGCATATTCCAGCATTGGTCTGACATATGTGGTATACAAGGTTCTGAATGATTCCTTACACAAGTTTATGAAAGGTATTTCTTATGTTTGCCAGCCTTGCAATCGCCGCTGATGTTATCCTTTTGATGTGGGTTTCAGAGGACAGGTCTGGTGTGATATCAACCCTCAGAAATTACTCTCGTCCAGACTCCTGAAGGATTTCCTCTCCCAGCTGGTATCTTGTTTTTGGCCTCCTGCTCCCTACGCTTATCTTCATCACTTAGCACTTGCGCGAGTTAAACTCTAGTAGCCATTTCTTGAACCATTCCTTCAGTCTGTCCAGCTCATCCTGTAGCTTCTTGCTATCCTCCTCTGTCTTAATCCTTCTCATAATTTTAGCATGATCAGCAAACACTGAGAGGAATGAATCTATACCTTCTGGAAGATCATTCACGTGTATCAGAAACAGGATAGGTCCGAGTACAGAACCCTGTGGGACTCCACTGGTGACATCACGCCAGTCTGAGGTCTCACCCCTCACAGTAACTCTCTGCTTCCTGTTGGTTAGGTACTCCCTTATCCACTGGACCACCCTACTACTTACTCCAGCCTGTTTCTCCAACTTATGCATCAGTCTTTTATGGAGTAACGTGTCAAAAGCTTTCTGACAGTGTGTGTCAGAAACATTAGATAACATTTTGTGAGCTGGTTTAAAGAAGTGTTTGTGAGTTGTTTAAGGACAGGAAATGTTTAAGTTTTGATGTTTAAGTTCAAATATTATTTTGTGTTTTTTATTAAGTACTAGCACATCCTTTGGGTGTTTCAGAGCGCGTACTGTTTATGAGTTATGAGATAATGAGTCCCCAACAGCAAGCCCCCAGCAGGAAGCCCTCAACAGGAAGCCCTCAACAGTAAGCCCTCAACAGGAAGCCCCCAACAGGAAGCCCTCAACAGTAAGCCCTCAACAGTCAGCCCTCAACAGAAAGCCCTCAACAGGTAAGCCCTCAACAGGAAGCCCTCAACAGTAAGCCCTCAACAGGAAGCCCTCAACAGGAAGCCCTCAACAGTAAGCCCTCAACAGTAAGCCATCAACAGTAAGCCGTTGAGAACGCGAAAATAAATTAAAGTGTAATTTTGTGAGCTGTGTACTTGAAATGATCTATTTGTTTCGCTATACGTATGTGAGTTATATATTGTGGGTGACATTAATAGTGGTACAGAGTCACTATTGTGAGGTCCAGAGCCACTATTGTGAGGCCCAGAGCCACTATTGTGAAGTCCAGAGCCACTATTGTGAGCCCCAGAGCCACTATTGTGAGCCCCAGAGCCACTATTGTGAGCCCCAGAGCCACTATTGTGAGCCCCAGAGCCACTATTGTGAGCCCCAGAGCCTCTATTGTGAGGCCCACTGATGTAAATAGGATAACAGCGAACAAACTTTTGGAGATTACGATTCTCACGGGAGAAGTAACTATTTTATTGTGAGCACTGCCTGGAAGATATATTGTGAGCACTGCCTGGAAGATATATTGTGAGCACTGCCTGGAAGATATATTGTGAGCACTGCCTGGAAGATATATTGTGAGCACTGCCTGGAAGATATATTGTGAGCACTGCCTGGAAGATATATTGTGAGCACTGCCTGGGAGATATATTGTGAGCACTGCCTGTTGGCTCTGTTGTGAGCACCGACTGGAAATATTATTTTGAGCACTACATGGAACGTTCACTGTGAGCAGTACTTGGAAGATATACTGTGAGTATACTGCCTAGAATGTTTATTATGAGAACTGTCCTGGAAGGTTTATTTTGAACACTGGCTGGAAATTCTCTTGTGAGCATTCCCCTGGAAGCTCTATTCTGAGCGCTCCCGGGGGAGGTTAATTGTGAGCACTGGAAAATATATATTGTGAGCATTGCCTGGAAACTCTATAGTTAGCACTGTTTTGTGAGCGCTATTGTGAGTACTGCATTGAAAGAACTGCTCAAGTATTGTCCTCGCATATGAGCTGTTTACCGTTCAATATTTTTTTTTCTCTCTCGATAATTCGTGTTATAGCACTGATTGTGAGTAATTTTTCCACCGAGTCAAAATCTTGTGTTAATCTCCACAGTTTATTAGTCACAGGACTATTTTATAATCACTTTTTATGCTGATCATTTTCCTCTTATGAGCAATTAGGAGCATCACTCATAATGCAGTCACTCATAAATCGCGAAGTAATAGTGAGGAAGCCTGAGATGTTTAGGTCTCTGTTATGAGCACAATGTTCTTGTAAGTTTCTTGAAGGATTATCTACAATACGAGACACGATTTATAAGTTTGTGTATTTTCTTGTGAGTCACTGGAAGGATTATATATATATCCACGACAAAGCACTATATACCAGATATGTCTTGGGCAACACTGCTTATGAGATCGTTCGTGAGCTCTGAGCAATCCATTTACCTATTAGATCGCGTCAAAGGCCCAGGAAAGTTACAGGCAAGCACCCACACGCAAGAACACGGGGTTGGGGGATAAGATTGCGTGTGTGCGTGTGTGTGTGTTGGTGGGGGGGGGGGGGGAAGGGGTGGTATTGTGGGAGGTTGGTGGGTGGGTAGTGTAGTGAGGAGGGGTGAATATAATCCGAGAGAGAGAGAGAGAGGATAGGCAAGCAGGAGGCCCGGCCTGACGGAAGGTTACCGCAGCACTGACGCCGCGTTCCCAGCTCCTCTCTCTCTCACACACTGGCGCCCTGGGGAGGGGGCCCACGCAGCGTGCAGTCGACGGCCGCACGCACACACACGCACGCACCTCCCTCCTCGGCAGAGCCACGCGGGGGACTGAAGGGGCCGGGGTAACTGCTGAGGCTTTTATTTTGTGGGTGAGAGACCCCTAGAAGGCGGCTGGGCGCCTGTGACAGAGCATCGATCATGCGCCCCTCCACCCCCCCTTCTCTACTCCCTCCACCCCCTTCTCCAGACCCTCCACCCCTGCTCCAGACCCTCCACTCCTGCTCCAGACCCTCCACCCCCTGCTCCAGACCCTCCACTCCTGCTCCAGACCCTCCACTCCTGCTCTAGACCCTCCACTCCTGCTCCAGACCCTCCACTCCTGCTCCAGACCCTCCACTCCTGCTCCAGACCCTCCACTCCTGCTCTAGACCCTCCACTCCTGCTCCAGACCCTCCACTCCTGCTCCAGACCCTCCACTCCTGCTCCAGACCCTCCACTCCTGCTCCAGACCCTCCACTCCTGCTCCAGACCCTCCACTCCTGCTCCAGACCCTCCACTCCTGCTCCAGACCCTCCACTCCTGCTCTAGACCCTCCACTCCTGCTCTAGACCCTCCACTCCTGCTCTAGACCCTCCACTCCTGCTCTAGACCCTCCACTCCTGCTCCAGACCCTCCACTCCTGCTCTAGACCCTCCACTCCTGCTCTAGACCCTTCGTTCCCCCTCTCCAGTCCCTCATTCCCCCTCTTACCACACTATGCACCTGTCTCCCCCTATCTCTACCTGTCTCTATCTGTCTCTGTGTCTGCCTCTGTATCTGTGTTGTTCTGTCTTGTGTGTTCTGGTTGACTCGTGTTCTTTGCTGTCCTACCTCTGTCCATCTCTCAGTGTGTCAGTGTCATCTCTGTCTGTCATCTCAGATGACACTGAAATGCCTCAGTGTCATCTCTGTCTGTCTGTCTGTGACTCTGAGTGTATGTCATAGTCTCATGACAAATAATATACCCATCTACCATTGGCGTGTGGGAGGCCATCGGTGGGAGGAACTTTAGCTATGTGAAATATTAACAAAAAATATTACGATGGTTTCCCATTGCTTTTTGAGAAACAGTGGAGGAGCTTGAGAAAGCCTCTGGATGAGCTGTGGCATGATTGTCTGATTTATGCTACAACAGCCGAACTATGAATAGCTGAACACTTATCACTTATGTTACACTTATGTTAATTTATCCGAGATCAGGGAATAATGGTGCATATTGCTATAAGAAAACAAACTCGTGAGTTTATATTTATCCAAGACTGAGGGGGAGGGGTGAGGGGTTAGAGTTTGACAATGGCAGGCTGTTCATTCTTGACTTTCTGGCCACCCCGACTAGCCTATGTCCGTCCTATCACCCAGACCATTCCCCCCGCAAAGGTTGGAGAGGCTAGCGCCAAGCATCTGACCTCCAACCTTGTGGACAGACAGTTAGTCCTACATTGTCATTTATTACATAATTCTTCTTTTTCCCCTCTCCCACGTACCATTCTTCCTCGTCCTCCCTCCCTCTGTCCCCTCTTCCCCACTTTCACACCCCCCCTTCCCTCTTACCCCTCCCTCCTTTCCTCTATTCCATCCTTTCCCACCCCTTACCCTTTCCCTCTTCCCTTCGCATCTCCCCCATATTCCACCGCCTCCTATATATATATATATATATATATATATATATATATATATATATATATATATATATATATATATATATATATATATATATATATATATATATAGTTCACTGCCACGGAGTTCGAGGATTTCAGAGGCGACAGATTTGATCTGTTGGGAGAGTGAAGGGGAGGGATAGAGAGAGTGAAGAGGAGAGAGAGAGGGAATAGGGGGGAGGGAGCGTGAATGGGACCACTTCTTCCCTTCCTCATTATATATTCAAGTGTTGTATTTCACGGAATGTATTTGTTAAAGCGAGTTGATTAACACGAAGGCACTCACGTAACTTGTTGTTGAATTGGTTCTTTCTGGTTAAATATTTACACTTTATTCATCACGTGCTAGTTCCTCCTTGATATATTACACACACACACACACACACACGCACACACACACACACACACACACACGCACACACACACACACACACACACACACACACACACACACACACACAATGATCCAAGTATGAGGAAAAGCCACATCTGAAAAAACAGAGAATGCTAAACGCGTTTTCGGCTCAATACGCCTTCATCAGAGTATTTTAAAATGATATATTAAATGCTCTGACACATCTGACTCTCAAGTTCCCATCCGTGCCCTCTTGTTCTGTTGATATTCATTGTCAACATTTCCTCTGTTTCCACCCTGTCAATTCCTCTAGGTATTTTATACGTCTGTATCATATCTCTATTTGAAACTGAGTGTGGAGTCTGCCTCCACCACATCACTGCCTGTGTGTGTGTACTCACCTAGTTGTGCTTGCTGGGGTTGACCTTTGGCTCTTTGGTCCCGCCTTTAGTGTGTGTGTGTGTATTATCCTACACATTTTAATTGTCTTAATCAACCCCGAGCCTAATATTTTTTTTTATCCTCCATAATTAGCGTAATAGACTAATCCTTATTTTCTCCGCCATACAAATTAACGCGGAGAGCGTAAACTCTTTTTTTTTTTTTTTAGGTCGGCTGAAGTACACATTTATTATCCAGCTCATTCCCAGCACCATGGGGGGGGGGGGAGAGGGGGGGGGCCTATCCATCATCCTACAGCGACAATTCCTAAATCCACGAATCGCTGTAATGTATTTCTACGCATTAACTTTCTCATTTGTATTCTTTACTGAATCCTTTAGTAGATTCGCTCAGACCTTTCGTGCGTATATGCCAAGGGTTAATTTGTAATATATATATATATATATATATATATATATATATATATATATATATATATATATATATATATATATATATATATTATATGGTCAAGGTACTGTATACGTTTGGGGTGATCTTGGACGCCTTGGGTTCGAATCCTGGTCGGGTCATTTAGATTTCATAATGATATATGGCTTGCGTGTTCATGCAGCCTTTCTCATATATATATATATATATATATATATATATATATATATATATATATATATATATATATATATATATATATATATATATATATATATATATATAATATATATATATATATATATATATATATATATATATATATATATATATATATAAAAACTAAATTCTGCGACACCACAAGGACTCGAACTTGGGCCTCCAGCATAACACAACACTGATGGGAGCTCGAGCTATAACTACCCCAAAGAGGCAATTGGCGTGTTGATGGTTATAGTGGCGACCTGCCAGTGGTATGACAGCCTGGCGGCCCAGGTTCGTGTCCCTTGAAGGGGCATTGAGTTTACAAGTGTGCATTTTCCTGGGGTCACACATGCATTATATCTATACTAAGAAGCTACTGGCCATTGCCGGGGTCTGTGTTATGTCCCCTCCCTATCTCTGACTCTATCTCGCTATCTATCTATTATCTATATCTATCTATCACCCCGCACCGTTTCGTCTTCTCTCAAGAAGCACTGAAGCATGTGTATGGCTCTCAGGTGCTTCACCTTTCCTTTTTCTTCTCTTCTGTTTTAATTTTTTTTCAATTTTTCAGTAAGAACTTTACGTTAATCATGCGCCGTATTTCTCACTTGACTCCATTAAAGACTTCACAAAAATGGCCTTGGGGGGAAGGGGGGGGGGTGTTTATAAATTATGATATTTCTTACATTATTTAACCTAAGCTTATCATGACAAGCTTATGTCCACCACCCCTTTCACTACAATCTCCACCCTTCCCCCTGCAACCCTTACCCACCGTCTTCTAACCCCTGACCCCCTCCCCCCTCCCTCCCTTTCAAAGCCCTTCCCCTCTCTCACCTGCCAATCATGCAAACATTGAAGCAAGGAAACGTTCCAACGTCCTGTTTCCCCTTTTTGTGTTTGCGTGGGAAGCGTCCAATGAATCAATGTGGAAGAGAAAATAGTGTGTGTTTGCGTTACTGGACGTGACATAAATTTGTGACGCGGGACCGTACGTCCAGCCTTGTGTTCCAGACTTTATTGTGATATTTGAAGTGATGCTGTCCAGTTAATATTATATATATATATATATATATATATATATATATATATATATATATATATATATATATATATATATATATATATATATATATATATGAATGCTCACTGTTATTCCTGCTTCCTCACATTTCCACCTACCAGCCTTGGTTCTATTGGATTTCTTCTCGGATCAGTTTCTGTGTTCTCCCAAGAGTATGGAGGCTGGGACCACTCAGCCCTTTATGATGGCCAACAATCATGTGCAAGGTTGGGAGAGAGAGAGAGAGAGAGAGAGAGAGAGAGAGAGAGAGAGAGAGAGAGAGAGAGAGAGAGAGAGAGAGAGAGAGAGAGAGAGAGAGAGAGAGAGAGAGAGAGAGTGAGAGAGAGAGAGAGATGTATTGTATGTTTATTACTTCTCTTTTATGTTTAATGTTCTTGATATTCTTGTGAAATGTGAAATCTGTATTGAGTTCAGCACTCTGTTCCCTCTCCCTTCAGTGTTCGCTTCGTATATACGCGTGCAAGAGATTTCTGTAATGTACACACACACACACACACACACACACACACACACACACACACACACACACACAACACCCAGGAATCATTCAGGACCTTGTATATCACCTATGTTAGACCAATCCTGGAGTATGCAGCTCCAACCTGGATTTCATACCTAGCTAAACACAAGACAAAGCTGGAGAATCTCATGTGTTGATG